ATGTCAATATCCTTGTCTTAATATAGAAAAAGTAATTTTTAAGCAAAAATCAAAACCGACTTCTATTCTCATGATCCAATAATTGGATTTAAGCCAACTATAGAACCACATGTAAGGTAACACCTTTCCTTAAAAAAAAAAAACGAATTAAAGAAATCGGTTGACGTGTTCCAAAGTTATACGGTAGCATACATAAAAAAAAAAATATTCCGACGAATTGATAACCTTCTCCTTTTTGTGAAGTCGGTTAGAAACCCATAAACATACATATCACTTTTTTCAAAAATATTACCTGATAGCTTTCGGATGAATCTAAATTCCATACAAATTCATAATTAATTTTATCATGTTTATCGGCAATTTATGACGTGAGATGAATGCGCATAATGTTTGTAAAACTAACTACTTACGATAAATGTTTGTAATTTCAGTTTTGGTCAGATTGCAGTGTTATGTTTGCAAAAATCAACGCCAGATTTTGGCAACTTCAAACTTGCACTTTATTAAAAATAAAATTTAATGGGCTAAAAAACTGCATACTCAAATCTTTCTAGAAACCCTAACAAAAAAGTTGCAAGTTTGTATGGAAATTTATTGAGTTTTCCTGAGTTGAAGTTTTATTTTCATGATTTTTGTTGTAGTATGAACTATATTTTTATAAAACATTAACTATAAGCCCTATCGGAAAGTGATGTAAATACGGTTTATGAAGAATTTCATTGGCTTTCATTTGCGTATTTTATATTAAGATTTTTAAATTGGTTCGTAAGATATACATTAATTGCAAATATCTCCAAAACGTATCGGATTCTACATAGGAATTGGATAATGGCATCCACAGAACATTTTTGCTGTAAACCAGTGTTATCAGAGCAGTTACATGTTTTTTTTTTTTTAATTCGAAGACCAAAGCGTAACACAGTTTTATCTCGCTTCTTAGGAAAAAATTGTGTAGCTTTGCGAGACATGATGTGTACAAAGACACGATACGGCTCTTCAAATAACAGTCGCCCTTCCAGAAATCGTGGAAGCACTGAAAAAAGAAGAAGAATGGAACGGCAGAACGACTGCAACAAAAGCTTCAAAGCTGGTGGCCGTACTACGTAATTTTGAATTTCTTATTGGACACTAAGTGTGGTTTTGCATATAGAAACTATCGACCTTGCGAAAGCACCAGACTTCATAGAAATGGTCACAGAAGATTTAAAGCCGTGGTATCCGAAAGACGTGCTGAAAAGCTCTCTTCTCAGTCTGTTGTTACCTCAGCTCAACATCCACTTAGAAGCACAAATACCATCGAACTTATTATACATTGAAATAATGAAAGAAGATGTGATGGAAAGATTTCTTAATATGGGCAAACACGGCATCAATTTCATTGTCTAAAATGACTGGTTATGAGTGGCCGGTTTAAGAAAAACGGGGAGCCAGTTTTGTTATACATATGTACATATCATAAACCAAAAAATATTTTCGGTATGTGAAACATTTTTTTTTAATACAGAAAGGTTTTACTATGCCACTTTAAATCTGCGCTTTCCTTTTGGTTAAGCAATCCATTTCCATTGCGGAATTCAAACTCACTGAGTTTGCCGGTAATCTTTCAATATAAAGAAGAACGGCGATATTCTTTAACGATCCCACATGACTCGCGTCTAACATGCTTCGCGTTGATAGCACCGTGGGCCTATAGGCGGTATCCCTTTTCCCTGCAGCTTCTTTACACTCCTCATCGTATCAGTAGTTCTTTCGGACTCTGCTGAAATCCGAGCAGTGTTGCCACAACAAAATTGCCAAATTCCTCAAAAACAAACGAATAATCTTAAAAATCAGAAAAAATTTCTAATAATTTTCTTAAGAATCAAAAATTTTGTACGCCCAAGTATGATAGACATTTTATTTTATTATATTATATATTGTTTATAAATGAATTTTATTTTTACAAATCATATGTTTGGAGTCATATAATAAAAACACCGTAGTAATTTTAATATTTCAAAATTACATTTCTCGACTGAAAATAAGGTATTCGAACTAACTCGACGACACACAGTGTGCTTTTTTAACACTCCATGCCAATTAAACGTAGCGCTTTCGACAGAAAAAACATTTTGATATGAAGCAAAATGGCTTTGAAAGCTAATTTAATTGCCTTTCAAGGAAAAATATTGCCATTGAGCTACAATAACTCCTTAACCTTAAAAAAATGGTCAAAAATAGTGTTCTTTGAAAAAAAAAAACATGCAAAATGCAACGGATATATTAAAAAAAAAAACATTTTTTGGATATTTTATTATACTAATATTAAAGATTAAAAAACGGAAAACAAATTTCAATCCCTCAATTTGAAAAATGCATTATATATTGCATTTTTTATTATTTGCATGCTGCTGTGCATCCTTCACACAATTTTTATCCCTCGAACAAGAAGTCAGTTTTAGTACTATTCAAGACCTTTGATTTAAGCCAAGTTAGAAGTCTCTAGGCCCTTTGAGAGCTAAATTATTACGATTATAAAGTTAAACTTCGAAATTTCATCCGACATTTTACGCAATTTTTTTTTCTAATATCGGAGTTAAAACTAGCACAGCAGTTTCGAAGTTTGGTTTCAAATTGTTATAATTTGGCTCTTAGACGGCCTAAAGGTTCTACCTTGGCTCAAATTAAAGGTCTTGAAATGCACTTATTGTTCGAGGGATATAAAATTGAGTGAAGGATGCGCAGCTGCATGCAAACAAAAAAAAATGCAATATATAATGCATTTTTCAAATTGAGAGGTTGACATTTTTTTTCGAAGTTTGAACAGTGGAATCGTGTTTCTCGTCTCAAACACTATAATACTAGTATAATAAGAAATACATATGTACATTTTTTGTTTTGGAATAAATCCCGTGGATTTTGCATGTTTTTTTCGAAGAACTGCTGCTGCATTTTGTTTCGTATCAAAATGCTGCTTCCCCTAAATCATTGTGAAAGCTCAACCTCCCTTCCCCCGAATTTCACCATAAATCCGCCACTGTCAGCGATGCGTGGGAAATTTCAAGGTGCAAGAACACAAGTGCGATCCAGGAATTGCAATACAAATCGATCCGCCCTAATGCTCACAAGTGTAGGTGTTCGCATTGTATGTATCTATGCCAAATGTATGAACATTAGGTTGCACTAAGCTTTTATACGCACATATCCTAATCCGTTCAAGTTTTTCGTCTTCGGTGACCCCCTGCAAAATTAGTAGACGGTGGTACCGGATGGGGAACGGTACATGACGGTAGGAGGTTTAGTTTGGGTTAAAGTCTCACACTGACGGGATTAGGCTTTCGAAGCTTCCTCCTCGTAAAAAAACGTGTGCAGTAAAAAGTTAATTATGTATTTAAATCGACGAAAAGTTTTATATCAACTTTTGTGAACTTCTATTTATGTGTTTGTCAGGGACCGTAAATAGCAGTTATTTTTTTCCAACAGTTAAACTTGGCCAGATATTTTTTAAGTTCGAAATAAAAGTCTTTCCGGATAGTAAACAAACCGCGTATGCAAGTTAAATAAATTTGGTATCAAATTAAAGAGGGCTGAAATAGCTTTTAAACAGAAATAACGAACGAAGATTACCACCTCTATTTATATATTTTTTATATCATTTAATACTAAAGAAATTCATATACCTAACCCAAGGTTTGTTCTATGGTAATTAAAAAACATGTTTATTTAAATATTTTTCAATACCTGGCTTTCCTCGTTTAAATAAGTATTTCAGTTTTAAAGATAAGTTAGTCCTCTTTCAGTTGATACCAAACTTGTTTAATTTGGACAAGCGGTTTGTTTATTATTAGGAAAGGACTTTTATTTTCGACTTAAAAATATCTGGCCAAGTATAGCTGTTGAAAAAAAGTAACTGTTATTTACGGTCCCTGGTGTTTGTGTACAACGTACCTCTATTGGTTACAATAATTTTAAGCTACAATAACAATTTTTTTGTAATAATTATTGGCGTTGAAAAAAAATTTGTATAGCCCCCC